AAAAAAAAAAAAAGAAAAGAAAAGAAAAGAAAGAAAAAGAGGCACGATATATCGCCACCACAATAGTGTTAATTTTTTTGGGGTGATTGGTGGGGAGGGGGTGTTCTGAAGAGTTTTTTTTTTTGTTTGTTTCTTTTTTTCTAATCCTTTTCTTTTTTTCTTTTTTTTTTTTTGTTCGTTATCATGCTTGTTGTCTTTTTGTTCCTAGTCCTTTTTTTTTCCCCCCCTTAAAAAAAAAAAAAAAAAATTATCTCCCCATTTGTTTTTTATTTGTAAATAAAGGAAGTTTTCAAGTGTGGTTGAATACCAAACTCCCCACCATCATTTATCAACAGGGGGCGAGTGCGTAAAGGAATGAGAATATAAAGGAAGAACTAGTGGTGGCCCACTACATACTTTTTTATGGAGAAACGTGAGAAGATAAGGTATTATTTCTTCCTCTCTTTCTTTCTCCCTCTTTTTGTCTATCTATTTATCTATCTCATGTGAACCTTCTCTGGGGGCTCTGTTCTATTATTAATTTTTTTTTATATTTGTTTATTGTTTAATGATTTTGCTTATTCTTTTGCGTTCCTACTTTTTTTTTTTCTCTCTTTTTCTCTTCTTCTTCTTCTTGTGGGCTCTCATTTTTTTTTTTTTCTTTTGGCCTTCGTTCCATATATCTATGTATGTATATTCTCTAATTTTTTCTTTTAAAATTAGAAGTGTAAAGTAACATAACTGTTCAGATAAAGTGAAAAAGTGTTAGTTTGAAGAAAAAGTTTAGTTGTCGGTAGTGAATACGTAAATAATAGTGTGGATCAACGATCAACTATAGTTATCTCTTTAGAGAGCAGTACACACAAGAACGTAGTACATATATACTAATAGAAGATGAACTCTAGTAGAAGTATTGAGGCTGAGCCCAATTCTTATTCTACTATTAGTAATGATACTAAAAGAATGGATGTTGATACTTCTGCGCGATCAAGGTCAAAAGAGGTGAATTCGATGTTACCAGAAGTGGGAGCTAATCTATGGGGATCATTTAAGGATTTCATTCGTCAACAGCAACTGAATCTAACAGTTGATCATTCTACTTCAAATGCCAATAATAATAATAATAAAGAAAAAAATAGAATTCCATCTTTTACCCAATGGAACTTTCCATTTTCCCTTACTAACGATACCAAGACGACACCGCCGGTATTCAGTGGATTGCATCATCGACATTGTATAATGTCCACTACATTCTATTATCCAACTAAATGCAGTCAATGTCTTTCAGTATCTAAAGTAAAAGAAACAGGAAATAGTGAAAACAAAGAAACAGATCATACCGAGGAGGATAATACTAACAGAGAGAAAACGAAATTATTAGGAATCCCTTCAAACACTCTATTGGGATTTGGATCACCTGGGTACTGCTGTGTCACTTGCAATTTCACACTCCACCCAGTATGCTTTCAGGCGTTGGATCCTACTAGTTATGATCTTTTAACAACAACAATAACAACAACAACGGAAGAAAAGGAGTCTATTAATGAAAAACCCGTTCCTGAAGAGTCAGATCTCCCATCAGCGGTACGTTTTCTTTCAGTTTATGTATTTAAAGATCCAAAGGCTGCAAACATACTGTGTGAATTTATGGGTTTACTTCAACGTTTTTCTAACCGTCATCCTAGCATTGGACGATGTTTACTGAACCCGTACAATATTGCTTCTATTAACAAACGTCATGAAGAATTGTATAAACTCTGCTGTGATGCCCTTGTGGATGCTAACTTTGTACAAGTAGAGGGAGTGAATGGTCCAACTATGCAGTTTATTCGATATACCATGCGATTCGCCGCCGCTGTGTATGGACTTCCATACCAAAAAGGATTTCTCAGCTCTGCATTCTGGGGTGTATTATTACGTGGTGTACGCCGTGATCTTCTTACAGCCTCTGAAGAGGCGAATAATGCAGCGGTGGCGGCAACACTTGATTTACCGGATGAATCTGTCAAACTCTCAAGATGGTCGCATTATGCAGAAGAACCGAGTTATTGTATTCTCGTTGATCACCTTACACGACGTATTGTGTGGGCGTTTAGAGGAACATTAAGTGATGGTGATGTACTTAGTGATGTATGTGCGTATGGAGTACCCTTCTGTGGTTGCTATGCACATGCGGGAGCTGTACGAATGTTGTCGGCAATGTTTGATAATCGTGCTGTGGAAACATCTGATGTAGTCTTTTCTCCAAATAACGAGAGGAATGATCATCATAATAGTGACGGTAACAATGACAGTAACCTCCAAAATGAGGTGAGTCATACTAATGACAAGGATGATAGTAAGAATACTGATAGGAGTAAGAAAAATCCTAATGCCGATAGAGGGATTAATGTAACTCTAGAGTTGTTGCAGAGATATCCAGAGTATGCTTTTATCGTCACAGGTCATAGTCTCGGCGGTGGTGTTGCTCTTCTATTTGGTGTACGTGCGATAAAAGAACAGGTCTTTGGTGAAGAGGGAACACGACGTTTACGTGTAATTGCATTTGCCCCAATGCCTGTTCTTACTATGCCAGCAACCGAATCGTATGAAGGGCAAATTTGGTCTATTGTGAGTGGCTGCGATGCTGTATGCCGTCTGCAACTTAATTCCATTGACCGTCTAGCTGCACAAATAACACATGATGATACGCCAACCAGTGATATTGTTACTGAAGAAACTATGAAGGATGAGAAAAAGGAGAAGAATAGTAGTAGTCGTCGTTCCTCTAATGCTGCCTTCTCATTCCTTAGCTCTTCATTTGACCATTTGAGTGCATACGTGAAGTCAAAAACTCTAAAAACAAATAATAACATACGATCGAGTGATGCGGAGGACATCACAGAAGAAATGCATCATCCAGGACGTGTTTTTATGCTTACTACACCGTGGAAATTAGAGACCAACCGCATTGTAGAGGTGCCACGTGGAAATATTGTGATGCACCATCTGTTTATCTCTCAAAACATGTTCAGGGAACATATTATGGACCGCTACTTGACTTCATTAGCGGAAGTTCACTTGAGCAATGAATAAAAAATGAAGAATTAATTGCAAAAAAGAATGTAAAAGAAGAACCCCACCCCACCACCTCCAAAAAAAAAAAAAGAAAAGGTACTGTTAAAGTAATAATTATTTTTTACTTAATTATTCTATGAATTAAATACCATTTTTTTTTTTTTTTTTGTTGTTGGTTGAACGAAATTATGATTTGAAAATGCACAACTTTTTTCTTTTTGCTCTTTTTTTGGTATTAATTTACAATATACCTTTTAATCTTTGTACTGGCTTCAGTCCACAGACAAAAAAAAAAAAAAACAACGTTGCGGTATCCTGGTATTTGTGGAGCTGCTGCTTCTTTATTATCCTTAAGTATCCTAATATTGCTTTTACTCTTGCTTTCAGTACAAAAATGTGTTCTGGGAGCCTTGCCTACGATACCATATCTCAGGGATACCATGCACTCCAATATATGCTCGCATTCCGAAGAAAAAAAAAAAAAAACAACTGCAGTGGGGGATATCTGCCGCTGCCCACAAAAGTAAATATAATGATGAGGATAATTATAATTATTTCGGGAGTGTTGCAAGAAGCTTTTCTCTCGATTTCCAGTACTAATGCCCAAGAGGAATATAAAGTGGTGGTGCTGTTTCTCTAGAGCAGTGGACTCTCATGTCTGCATGGATAATACTCATAGAATATCTATTTTATGAATAATAATTCCCAGTGCTTCTCTCTGTATTTCTTCATATTCCCTTTTTATCTGTCTCTCAGCATATACATACATAAACATATATATTTCTTTATAAATTTTTGTCTTGTCCCCTGCACTGACAAAGGAGCTACAGGGGGATGCGCCACATTGTTCTCCTGGGCAGCTCACAGACACAAGAGGGATATTTGTCTGGCTGGGTGTCACGCCTCAGCAACTGCTATGTTCGTCGTGCAGATGTTGTGAATCGTGGGCTGAGTGGATACAACTCACGATGGATACTGGACATACTGGCAGACGATACAAGGCGACAGCATTTGCTGCCGTTACAAATTGGCCGGCCGCTGTTTATTACACTGATGGTGGGGTCCAATGACGCTGCAGAAACTGCTCATAATGTACCACTGCAGGAGTTTAAGGGGAATCTGAGGAGGATTATCCACTTGGTGCGCGAACACGCAGCTCCTGTGGGTGGTATTTTTCTTCTTACACCTCCACCCATTGACGAGGAGGCGCGACTCAAGCGGATACAAGGGTATCGACCTGCGGCTACTGTATCGGATCGCAGCCTTGAAACTATTCGACAATACCGCAATGCTGTAATTCAAGTGGGGTCGGAGGAAGAGGCGACGTACGGGGATGTCACTGTTGTTGATTTGTTTCCGGTGTTTCTTGGCAATTGTGCGGATACAATGCCGTACTCGAAGGGTCCGTGGTGTGACTACTTCTCCGATGGCCTTCATTTTAACGAGGCTGGTGGTAAACTGGTGTTTGAGGCACTGTGGGATGCCATCGGGAAGTCTCCGAAAGCCAAGGATATTCTGCCGGATGGAATGCCGTTTGTAGTGCCATCGCATGAAACCCTGTGGGTAAGGGAGTAGGAAGGGAGCTGACTGTCATGTTAGCTGAGTGATTTATTAACGAATGGAGTTTTTTGCTTTTTTTTTCTTGTTGTTGATGGTGTTTTTGGTAGTTGGAGTTTGACTGGTTGGGTCTTCTTTTTTGATGAGATGTGTGTCCCTCTTCTTTGCGCATATTGGTGCTCTGGAGCTGGCTGCTCCTTGTTTCGCTAGGTTAGGGGGATACGTTTTGTTGTGTTAGATGCTTGCTTCAGAGGAGTTGTTGCTCGCCCACGCCCGCGAGCGGAGGACGGAGGATGTGCTGCGCGAGGCGGAGGCTCTCGAGTGTAGTTTGTCGGGGGCGGAGTTGGGGCCCTCGTCGTTGCTTCTCCGCGTCCTTGTGACGGCATACCTTGTGCACAACGACGTGGTGAATGCGACGCTGGCGCTGCGGCGGTGGGCTGCGGTCGGGGTTGACGAGCATGAGGAAAGCGAGCGAGTGGCGCTGGAGTGCGTTGCCCGCCACTGTGGCCGTTATGCGTATGGCGAGGCCTTCCGGGCGGCACTACGTGGCTGCTGCAGTGGCCGTATTGGTGGTAGTGCTGTTGGCGCTGCGGATGTCGTGGGGTGTCTGACAAACTGTCTTCTGGACTGCTTGGCTGCGCGGCACCTCCACCAGCGGAGGAACTTCCACGGCGATGCTGTTGGTGTGGACGGACACGCGGCATCTCTTGGAGTGGCGCCAGAGGAGCTGGAGACACGGCTGCAGCGTGTGCGGGAGGATGAGTTGCGGCGCATGAGATCCGAGGTGGGGCGTGGCTCGAGCGAGAAGAGGTGCGATATGCTGCGGTGCATAATGCAGGTTGGAAAGACCATTTAGACTGGGTGTCATGTGTGTTGTGAGGCTGCAACATAAAAAAAAAAACCAAAATTCTAAGTGTTGGTCTGGTATTTTATTTCTTTGTTTTCTTGTTTTTCTGTTTTTGCTATACCTCTGCTTGTCTGTGTGTGTGTTTTTTATACCTCTGTTTGTTTGTATGTGTGGCTGATGACAGCCCCCTGCTGTGTTGTGCTGTATACTGTGCTCTGCATCCTGTTTGCGTGTTGAGAGGTAGGAGGGGAAGGTATAGCGCTGAGTCAAGGAGGCGGTGGAAATAGAGTGTAGATGCTTCACCGATGCGTCCGATTGTTTTTAAAGGCGCGACCAAAGACGGTCAGCGTTGAGCCTGGTTCGAATCGCCTTCCGGATTCCGTTGTTTTGGCGAAGGGGAAGGATATATTTGCTGTGCCGGATTTTCCTGGGAAGCGGGTAATGCATAACTGGCGCTTCTTCATCAAGGCAGGGAAGGCTGCGACAGGCCCGCCTGTAGGACAGGAGTTCTCGAAGCTTGGCCTCAAGGCAATGGATTTTGCCAAGGCATTCAACGACCGCACAAAGCCACACTTCAAGGACGATGTGGAGCTGATTGTGCGTATCCAAGTTTATTTTGACAAGACCTACATGTACTCTATTGAACCACCACCAACGGCTTGGTTTATTTTGCGTGCGTTGCGAAAGAAGCGTCGTGAGACTGGCCCGGTGTCTATTCGTGGGTGTTACTGCGCGCTGATGACACTGGAGATGGCGTACGAGATTGCCAAGATGAAGCCGAAGAATTGGGGGAAGCCGGAGTACCCGCTGCTGGAGACACGCGTGCGCCGTGTTGTGGGGCAGGCCCGGCGGATGGGCGTCTGCTTCATTGGCGTCGACACGCCCGGCAGCTCTCCGGTGAAGGGGATGACGGAGCGGCAGTACGCGGAGGAGAGCGCGAAGTACCGCAAGATCCACGCGGAGCAGTACACGGCGCTGAAGCAGCGTGAGCTGCAGGAGGCCCCGCTGATCGAGCGGCTGCACCGCCCCAACATGACGCCGCTCACGGAGGCGCAGATTGAAGAGGGACTGCGTGATGCAAATCTAATGCACGCGCTGTGGAAGGCCAGTCACCCGAAGAGTCCGTACCACAGGGATCTCCAACAGCGTGAGATGGCGCGGCGCTACCTCAATGCGAGGGGATGGTTGAAGGACATGACACTGGATGAGATGCAGGTGGTGTTCATGAACCACCGCCTTCCAGATATTGAGCGCAGTCACCAGATGGATGATGGGAAAATGGACGAGCATGTTTACTGGTCGAGGGACAGTACTTCGCAGTGACCCGCTGTTATGCGTGTGTTTTAGACTTTGCAGCTGGTGGCTGGGATGTACTGGGGACACCAGAGAACCGCCCCCTCTTCTTTCCAGCACTGTCCTTCCTCGTGTGTCTCCTGGGGTGTGGGGCACGTAGTGGAGGGGCGAATTACCCTTTTTTCGTGTCTCATCTTTGATTTCTATTTGCGTGTACAATACTGCGTAAGTGCTGACTGTGATGCCCAGGTGTCGCTTGTTGGGTCTCCCGTACTCCGCCACTTGTGTTGTTCCTCTTCGTTAAGAGGAGGTGCACCAAAGTCTCTGTCTCTCTCTCTCCCTGTGTGTGTGTTGGATGGGGACGGGAGACTCTGAAGGATGATGAACGTGCGAGGGCAGAATGAATGTATCTGGCACTGAACCTGTTTGCTGGAGCATTATTTGTGTTCTACTTTGGCTTTGAAGTTCTTTGGGGAGCTCATTCATTGGATAGAAGGAGAAATACCTCGCGAGACCGCACGTTGGGACTTAGTACGTGTTGGTATTGTCTGCGCTTACCGATATGGAGTGTTGGAGGGTGTTTAACAGGAAGAGTTGAGTGCTGCTTGCTGGTCGAGATAGGGAAGAGAGGGGTGGTGGTGGTGGTTGCTGCAGCGCGGATACAGTGGAAACGAGGACACTCCTGTACGTCAAAATGAGTGGCAACCCTGAAGCCTTTCTCTGTTGATTCGTCATCATGTGACTTTTTGTTTCTCTCTCTCTCTCTCTCTCTATCTTATACATATATATTCTTTCACACTCACTTTCTCCCATTATGATGTTGTGTGCATAGAAAATGTTGTTTTTCATTTGTTTTCTTCTAGCTAACTTGCGTATTTTTGTGCTGTGAAGTAATGTATGGCTGTTTTGTTTTGATTTCCATTTTTTTTTTTGTAGTAGTTTGTCAAAACAATTGGGTTTTTTTTTTTCACTGCATAAATGAAGTTTAAAAGTTGGCATTCATTCGCTTTATTCTGTGTGGCTCTCCTTATTTCTGAAATTATGTGCCCTTACACAAAAGTGGAGGAGAGTTTTGGCATGCAGGCGATGCACGACTTTCTTTTTTGTAGTTCGACTGCCTGTGGGGATCATATTAGTTTTCCAGGTGTTGTGCCACGGAGTTTCTTTGGACCATGGTTAACTGTTGTTTTTGCACTTCTACCGTTTGCACTGATCGTTAAACCGATTACTGATGTACTTTTGCCATGGTTTTTGCAAAATGTCATTAAGTCTAATAGTTTGATTGGAAGTTTGGCGTTGGAAGTTTTTGTGGTAGAATACCCCATGTTATTCTCACATTTATGTAGGCTTGTTCTTGGAGGTTTGGTTTGTAGTGCCTTGTGGTATGTTGGGATCAGCATTGACATGAATGAGAGAATGTTTACAAATCCCACAGGACGTAAAGAGAAACGTGGAGGATATTTACCTTCCTTCCTTTTTTTCCTTTTGTGTACTTCACAATTCCATTTGGTCTTTTATGCAACTCGTCCACTACCCAATACGTATGGTCTTATCCTTTGTACCTTTGCTTGTGGATCTGCGTTACGCAAACATTATTATCGCTCTATTGCACTTCTTTCTTTTGCAAGTGCAGTGTTTCGTTGTGATGTTATTGTGCTTTTGGCACCATTTGCACTTTTTCTCCTTATTCGACGTGATATTACTTTACTTCGTGGTATGATGGTTGGTCTGAGCTCTGTGGCTGTTTCGTTATTGTGTAGTGTAGGCATGGATAGTTTTCTATGGGGACGTTGGTTGTGGCCAGAGAGTATTGTGCTGTTTTTTAACACAGCGGAGAATCAATCATGGCGTTGGGGACGATCACCAGCACATTGGTACATTTCATACGCACTTCCACGTGCTTTTCTCTTTTCTTTTCCATTACTTTTATTATTGATGTGTTTGGCATGGTGTCCTATACAATACTGGCAAAGAGGGCGCACTGCAGTTCAGGTACTATCTACAAGAGTTCCTTCTCTTGCGGTTTGGATAGATGTAAGTGCACGATATCGCGTAGTGTTAATACCGGCATCTATATTTATTGCCCTTTACAGTGCCCTTCCACATAAAGAGTTACGATTTATTATGATTGTATTTCCATGGTTTTTGGCACCACTGGCATCCGCTATTGCAGCAACATGGAATACGTATACATTTGATCCCAGTAACGGAGCAATAGCTCAAACGTCTTTTAAAAACAGGCAGATAAAGGAAACTGTAGGAGAAACAAATTCTAAACTCCCCCAAAATAGCAAAAAAACAAAGTCTGAACTTCCTAAAAATAACCATTATGGTGGAAAAAAACTATACTTTGTTTTGCTCTTTCTAATCTTCTATTTACTACAACTTGTAACAGTGGGAGTATCTCTGTATTTAAGTGTACATAATTATCCTGGTGCCCAAGGACTGCAGCGTTTACACAAGGAAATTGAAGCTGATATTCAAAACGTTTCTTCTTGTTTACATAAGCGACAATTGAAAGAATCTGAGAAGGATACCCCCATTACAGTGTTCATTGATGCCTATGCGGCAATGACTGGTGTCAATCGATTCCAAAAAAAGAATTATCTACATTATTTATCAAATGTGAATGCTAATAATAGGGATAGGGGTGTTTACTATTCACTTCAACATCGACTTATTGCCCTTTTAGCTTTGCCATTTGTAGCGACACGTCGAATTTTGACCAACAAAGATCTTGCAACTGACCGTTGGTCGGAATACATCTTATCTGATGTATTTGGAAAAGAACCAGACGGTGTAGAAATGATGAACCTCACAGAGGTTAGAGCACAGAATTATAATGATTTATTAGGTAAAATAAATGTACGTTATATCAAAGACCCCACACGTTTTGATGAAGAACATGATATCTACAATAGTGAAGGTTTGGATTATCTACTAGTGCGGTATTCGCAGCGGGAACTACATCGTCAACATGGCGAGTTTGAAGAGATTTTTACCACAAATACAACTGACTTTAATAAACTGGCAAAACGATGGTTGAGTAAATTATTTCCATGGAGAAAGCCCATCACTAACGTCAGTGATGGGGAAGGAGAGGGGTTTCTTTTAGGAATGCGACGGCGATGCCTGTAACGAATTCTTATATTGGAATTTTTCTTTTTTTTTTTTTTTTTTCTTTCCTTCCTAAGGTTTATACTTGTTTACCAAGATTGAGTGGTTGTTGGTTTTTTCTTTTTCTTTTAACTATTTGTTTTAGTTAGGATTAAGGAACGATTTTCTTCTTCATTTTTGTTTTTTTTTTCCACACGTTTTCCTTCTGTTCAAGTCTTTTGGCGCTCCTTCCTCTCTTACTATTTTCCACAATGCCTGCGGTGAGAAGGGAAAGAATATATTTCCTTTTTTTTTTCCTCCATTCTGTAAATATGGAGATGGGAGGCGTTGAGTTAGTTGATGAATAAAAGAAAAGGTGGAAAGGCGAAAGATTCGTAGAGCTTCTTTATATTCTTTTCCTTCTTTTTTTTTGAAAAGGAAAGAAGTCTAGGAGTTGTTTCCTCTTTATCTGTGTGCGTCTGCACTTGAATATTCTTATTGGGGTTTTTTTTCTCGCTTTTTTTTTTTTTGCTAATTTGCGATGTTTAGAGAAGAAAAAGAAAAAAAAAAGAGAGAAGTAAACACAGGAAATGATTTTTCTTTTGTTGTAGTGGTAAACATATTGTGTGAAACCACGACAAGAGAGTAAAATAAAGAAGAGAATGTCTTGCTTGTAAACAGTATCGACGTACAATATTGCTTATACGTCTGCTTTTTAATCATCGTTGGAGTGGAAACATATCCTCTTAAAATAAATAAATAAAAGAAAATCAGAAGGAGCGTGAAGGAAATGTATAGGTATGCACGAAAATAGGGAGAAGGTTTTTTTTTTTTTTTCTTTTACTTTGCTCTGTTTGAAAGGTGATTTAATGAAAAAGAAATTCATATTACTGTAGATAATTTGAACTTTTGAGAGTTGTTCTCACACCACTACAATTTTTGGTTTTTTTTT